TATGTCGCTCACTATATAGGCGCCGTTAGCTATATTTTCATATCCTCACTATTAGACACATATCAAATTCAATCATGAAAATCACATTAGTTAGGGAAACAATATACGATAATAATATTATACGGTTTGACCGAATCGAATGTTAATTTATCATTTTTTATTTGTACTAACTACGACAAATTAACTAGTGGGGCGCAAGACACCGTGCCTTGAGGCAAATTGCTGAAACTTCTCGTACCAAAAGTTATTATTTTTTTTAAAAACGATTAACATTTTTGAAAAAAATTTACTTCGAAAAATTAGATTTTTGAAAAACTATAAATTCGACAAAAAATTACTTTGTTTTTGATAAAAAAATTGTTTGAAAAAAAAGTTTTCTTTATTTTGGCATAGTTTGGAAATTCTGAACTTTTTTTCAAAAAGTCGTACTGCTTTAACATAGAGACAAACTGTCAAAACGCGTAAGCGCCGCGTCGCCGTCTAACGGATAAACATTGATACGGAACCCATAGGAGTGTAAACAAAATTTATACTTATTGTTAAAATTTCTATAAAATATCTGATAACTTGATGTGCATACGTCTAATGATCATTTTTGACCGCCAAATGGCTTTTTTTTTACTTTTTTTTTATTAGATCTCCGAAACCGCTGGACCTGCCTTCATGAAAATTTGATCAATTCTTTATCTTGTCAATACAAGTAAAATGTTGTTTGAATTTTTGAACGGACGCTTCGTTCTCTCAAAAACCTAAATTATTTAAAAATTCTCCTAAAAAAAAATGATTTAAATCGGTTGATCGGTCTTCCCGAAATCGTCGACGAAAATTTGTATCCGCACACACACACGCACACACATACACACACACATACATCCATTTTTTCTAAATATTCAGAAACCTTTGAAACGTCGAGAAATTTTACGATTACTATAACTTACCCTACGGGAAGTTAATTAGAAGCACTTTACATTAGTCAATAAATTACAACACCCTGGCTAAACTACTGCTTACTCTTATCGAACTAGCATCCAAAAGCACTAGTGAAATTGGTATTTGAATTTTTAAAATTATAACCCGAAAAAAATTGTTTTGTAGGCCAGTTAAACTGGCAAATTTTAAACCATTCTTTCATGAAATGAAAACAGCATTAAATTCAAATACAGATCAAATATGCACAGATTTTCCGATAATATGCAAAGATTTTCCGTAGGGTAAGTCATAGTAAATGCAAAAAAAATAGCAAATAAATTTTTTTTGGATATCTTTACGTTTCAGAAGTTTCTGAACATTTTGGCATGCCTTAAAAAAGTTGATGATTGTATATATATATGTGTGTGTGTGTTCGTATTCAAATTTTTATTCACAATTTCGTAAACACGGATCAACTGATTTGAATGATTCAAATAACATTCGATTCGTATTAATGGAGAGACATGCTGGTTAGTTTTTGGAAACTGCAGATCGAGAAGTTTCCAAAATACAGGGCAAAAAGTGTCAAAAATATTAATTCTATTTTTGAGAGAACAAAGCGTCCGATATAAATAATTCAAAAAACATTTTATTTGTATTGACGAAACAAAGAACTTATTGAATTTTTGAAAGGTAGACTCATCGGTTGCGGAGATCCAATGAAAGAAGTAATTAGTGGTGTATGGAACTTCCTGTACCAAAAATTACCTTAAAAAATTAATTTTTATGAATTTTGAAATTTTTGAAAAATCGAAAAAAAAAATTCTATATATTGAAAATTTTGAACTTTTTTTCAAAGCAATCGCACTGCTTTAGGTGCATAGATACAAAAGATATTACGGAATCCATTGAAATGTAAACAAAATTTATACTTATTTTTAAAATCTTTATAAAATATCTGATAATTTGCTGTACATATGTCTAATGATAATATTTGACCGCGAAATGGCTTTTTAATCTCATTTTTTTCACTAGAACTCTGAAACCGCTAGATCTGTCTTACCAACAATTTAATCAGTTTTTCATTTTGTCAATACAAGTAAAATGTTTCCTGAATTATTAAAATCAGGCACTCCGTTCTCTTAAAAACAGTTACCGTTTTTGGCACTTTTTGCCTCGTATCTTCGAAACGGTTACACCTGCCTTGTCCAAAAACTAATTAGCACGTTAACTTATTAATAAGAATCGAATGCTTTTGAATGATTCAAATCAGTTGAACCATGTTCCCGAAATCGTCGATGAAAAATTGTATCCGAACACCCACACACATAAATTTAATTTTTGGTACGGAAAGTTTCACCAATTTACCTTAAGGCGCGATGCCATGCCTTATTAGTTTTGTAAACTGATTGTAATTAGAATTATTTTGATAGCAAGCTGCTACTGGGTGACTCAGGTATTAAAGCCCATATTATGGAAACCTAATCATCTGAATCCGAATACGATATTGTTTTTAGTAATTCGTCTTGATTATCGATTATGCTCGTATTATATTTGTTATAATCGTAATAAACAATGCATTCAAATTTATTCAATTTTTCAAAAAAAAAATCGATTGATATAATATTTAAACCCTGAATTTTTGTAATATTTAAAACCGATAAATATTGCTCAATTGAAATTTACCGTAATACCGCCAATAGTTTTTTACGAAATATATTGTTCCTAGATATATTCAAGGACAGCCGACTTGACTTGATGGACCAGAGAGATATAAAATATACGATTATCCTATTATAGCGATGTTTTTTCAAAGTTTATTCGAACTATAATTACTAAATGTATTATTTTTTGTGTATGAATTTTGACATTATTTGTATAACGTACTTCTATATTTTTAAATTTAATTATATTTATAAAATACTAATAATAATAATTATTACCAAAGATATCGAGTAGCAAGACAATGAGACCCTGTATACTTTCTATTCTGACCCCCAAGTTGATCTACTTGCGAAATGAGTAGTCACTGAATAGAGAATCCGATACTCTTTTGCATTTACGTTCTTTTCTCTATAATATTTTACAGTAATATTCGGTATGGTTTCAATGTCCTAAGAGGGCTCGAGATCTGAAAAACATATTTTTCTTAGACTTTTAGCTCATTTACGAAACTTTATATTAGCCAAATTGCCAAATTTGATAATAACTTATTAACCAATTTGATAATTTACTTTCGGAGAGTGAGGCAAAGCAAAATAATAAATTTTAATAATCACCAAATTTTATCACCCCCGAAAACCTGTCGCCCTGGGCAGTAGCCCCGACTGCCCCTACTGTAAATCCAGCACTGGTTTTAGACCAATATATATATATATATATATATATATATATATATATATATATATATATATAATTTCAGGACCTTTTAGGTCCTTTTTCAAAAGCAATTGAACGTATATATCGCAATCTTGTAATTTTAATACAAAAATATTTAATCAAGGTTCGCTAGTGTAGTAGATATCATTTTAGTTCAAACATTGTAAAATAATCAAAATTTAATTAATGAGTTAATAGCTTCTATTTATTTTTTGAAACAATAAATAATGGACTTTTTTAATTCGAAAACTTTAAACAAACCAAAATAAATCCACGTGCTTTGCGTGCATGTGCAGATATGTGTATAACTGAAAGTGTAAATACATTATTAAAAAATATCGTTTGAAATCAAGTTTATTCAAGTTGAAACTAAACGAAATTAATTATAATTAATTTTATGAGCAATATAATTTTTTCATGCTATTAATTATTATGGGCGATTCTTATAGCCGTAGTTCAAAAATAAACTTGTATTTATGTTAATCATATAGTGTACGTGTTACGTATACATAGTTCTGTAGCTCTGAGCGTGTTACGACCTAAATGGTCAGTTTCGCTTATCGAGCTAATCATCTCGAAATATCAGGCTCGCGCTTCGACCTAGCGAAAGTAACGAAAGCAACGAAATCTTGAGCTTCGTGAGCCTGGAAGGGAAAAGTTCCAAAAATCTTGTCAAAACCTCATCTGAAAATTCATTTGAGATTCATCATGAAGTGCGAGGCATTGGTGCGTGTGTTCCAGCGTCCGTGTGTTCGAGGCGCGCGCGCACTAACGCTGATTTAATTGTGCTTTACTAAATTAACACTGAAATTTTGCTCCTTACTCTTTCTGCGTCACTTGGAATAAATTTATGCGGAAAAGGCGCGTGAGCGATTGAATTTTTGGCGATTAGCCCCAGGTGGGGGCGCTCAAAAAGGAAAAATGTCACGGAAAAACACATAAGTTACATTGCAGAAGATAACAGTTTATAACGCTAAAACAAAATCTATTCACTAAAATACAAATTGAAGCAAATACGGAAATGGAGGAATACATCTCACTCACTGATGTCAAATCTCCTTTCAAAAAAAACTAAGCAGTTTACAATTTGTAAAGTTAGCACAAGGAAAATGCTGATCTTTTATATATTATTGATAGTTCTCAAAATCTCAAACTTCTAAAATTATATTAATTCATTCTCTGCATTATAGTATAAAATACTAAAATATCTTCACAATGTTACTGATAACTCATATATAAAGAACAAATTCATTAACTAAATCTCTTGAAAACTACTACATATAAATTTTAAGCGCCCGCCTAACTGTTAGCCCCAGACTGTTCTACAGTGTAGAATCTACACAATATATGCCATTTTTATAAAAAATACCCATATGGCTATTACTATTATGTCATTAAGCTCGTATATATTAAAATGAAAAATATCCGGCAAATGATTTATACCACAAATATAACATTTTTGTTAAATAACTAAATTTTAACAGAAGTTCAATTGCCACATGATAGAGACAATAAAACGAAAACAGTTTGTAATCATCTAGGCCTAAATTAGAACAATAAAGAAAAACAATTAAGCAGAATATTTTTAGATTTTATTTGAACATCAAAATTGTGGGAGGCCAAACATTTGACTAAAAACTATGAGCACAAAATATTTAAGATTTATTTAGCACAATTAAAATCTAAAAAAAATAATAATTATATAATCTTACCTCGATTCGCGCTGTTGTCAATTACGTGCAGTATAGTATGTAAAGTGCGAGCGATCGAAACCTTGAAATGAAAGAAAAGTAGTTATTTTATAATTTCTTAAAAATTATGCAGAACTATTGAATAAACGCATTATTCGCATACAAAAATTTTAAAGGCTTCTATTAGAAAACTTATTTGCATATATTCTATACGGGGTGAAGTTCCCCTCTACGCTAAATCCTGTATAGATCGTGGTCGGAGAAAGTACAACACAAATAAGCGGGCTGCTTCTTTTTCTAAAGTATAAGAAATCACTAATATTCGACAAAGGCATGGATATAGATTATTGATACGAAAACCTTATGCATGAAAAGTCTCAAACTCGCATACATATTTTTTGCATATCTTTATTTAACCCTTTTTTTTTGTTACCGAAGATATTGATTCCGAAGGGTTCGAAAAGGAACAATTAGATAAGGTAAAAACTCGTTACATATCATATGCAAAAACATTTTTAAAAGGGGCTTTCATTAGGGAAAACTGCACGTTTACAGCAGGATGGAATATTTTGCAATTTCATTCCCTTTGCCGAAAATCCGATATTTTTAACTCTTCCCTTACTTTGAATTTTGTGTATTAAGACAGCGCACTTGGGGATGGGCACCCACGCGCCCCATACCCTCTCTTCCTTTTCACTCTTGCTTTCTTTCTTTGTTTCCTTCTTTCATTTTTCTCTCTTTCTTTCGCTATCTCTTTCATTCTGTATCGCCTCTTACTTCCAACCCTATAGGTATATATTCTTAAGCCGTTCGCGTATGTATACGTAGATATATGGTATGTTTATGGAGATATATAATTGCACACACACATTTGATATATATATATATATATATATATATATATATACGTTTTGGTAAGATTACTCTCAAGATTCGTATAATTAAAAATACAAAAAACAAAGTACTTCAATGATAAATTTTGTTCATATGGACAATCATCACCTCAATTTTCAATGTCAACAATTTCCGAAATAATGATTTTTATCAAATATATATTTTTTAAAGTATATAACATGAATTAGCTTAATTAATTATTAATTTTAATTAAATTATTAATTAAAGTATATAACATGAAGAAATTAATCACTATGCGTAAAATTATGATTGTTTTATACACATTGAAATAAGTATATACTTAATATTTGCGCTTCATTAATTTATTTTTACCGTGATTGTCATAATTTTCATTGTTTGAAATTTCTATTTTATACTTAGTAATGTAATATAATCCTCTAAAATTTTAACCGAATGGTAATTTCCAATATTGCAGGTACCTCTAAATACAAGAAAGAAAAATATTTATATTTATATATATATATATATATATATATATATATATATATATATATATGATTTAACGGTTAATTAATGGTGATATTTTATTCTAAACAAAATATAGACATATTGCTTGAATTATGTTACCTGTAATTGAATTTAAATATTCTGATAGCTGTATTGTTGCTATTTCTTTCGTTATTTAGAGCAAACTTAACTTTTAAGTCTATTTACCCAGATTGTATTTTTAAAAAAATCATTTGGTTTAAGGCCTGGAATAAGAACGATTTTTAATATTTATTATTTATTATGATGAACAATAATTATTATGATTGATTATAATGAATTATTAATTATCGAACAATAAAGTCAAAATTATTTATAGGTTCAATTTAATTGCAGCTCAATAAATAATCATTTGTTTATTATCAGTTTAAATATACTTTCGTCAATAATTTATTTTTGTCTTCGTTTTAATAAAATAAGTACGTGAATATCTTTTTTGTACAATAATTGAGAAATTACCTATATTTCAAAAATAGGCAACTTTTAATTTTATTATTAAATTCAGATGCCATTTTCTAAAAAACTTAAAGTTTTATATAAGTGAAAAAATATAAAATTAGAAGAAGAAAAAGTTTTTAATATTAAAATTGTATATTGTATGTTTTTAATATTAATATTGTAATATTAATATTAATATTGTTAATAACACAAGTTAATCCGTTTTTTAAATAAATTCTTATATATTATTTTAGATCAAATTATTATATTTCCAATGTAGTTTTTATGGAACTAATTTGTTACTACAGTCAATATACAACTTTTTATTATGCAAAGCCATTATTATAGAGAGATCTCTATAGATTTGAACCGCAAGTGCGCGCGCGAAACAAATAAGAGTCGGCGAAGAGATAGTTCCCGAATTCGTATTTTTACTGCTGAAAAATTATTCACAAAGGACTTAGTTGATATAGAAGCGCCGGTGTCCCAGGTTCAAGAAACTCGTATATTCAAATAATTTTCACACACACTCGGAATGAATCACTTTATTTATGCAAAACATTTTAGAGAAATAACCTATTCCAGCTCCATTTATTGGCTGTATAATAATAATGCATTGATTAATATTAGAAAAATTGCATATATATATTTATATATATATATATATATATATATATATGTGTGTGTGTGTGTGTGTGTGCGTGTTTTGAGGTAGTATTTAATTTAAGTTAATTATATTAAATTAACAGAACTAGAGGTCTATCTGCTTATTTTTACACAAGCTTGTTTATTGGTATTTTTTATTATAATTGATACGGTATTAGTATCTTTTGTTAAAATTTCAATTCAATGTTTGACCTTAACGCCTAGTAATTTTTCCTAAATAGATCTGATATTCTTAAAATACCAATTGTTAATACTAAATTAAAAATGTAAAATAAAATATATATGTTAATTTTAATAATCCAATTTTATAATTATTTTAAAACTATTTATTATTGTCTAAAGCTACCACGCCATAAAGTTGGCATCGAAATTTCAAAGCGTTTACTATGATGCAATACAAAACTTTGCAAAACTTGAAAATTTATTTCATAATTAAGATGAATAATAATTAAAGTTCTAGAATATAGAAAATCTACACATGATACTTGATTGATACACCAAAATGTAAATTGAATCTTACACAATAAAATATGCTTGTGGCATAGAAAATTATTAATTTCATTTCAAAATTTTATTAAAAAATTTACATGGCAGCAAAGTTACATTTTTATTTACTTAATATATTATAGTGTTCCTATAATTTTTGCAAATCAGTAACAAAAGTATTTTCTTTCGTTGTAAGCTTTTTCGGTCATGAGCACTGTTGCTTAATTTAGTTTACTTAATTAACGAAACCTTAATATAATTTTTAAGTACATGTTATTTAACTATATAAGATATATAGTTAATTTTTAGTTAGATTCAACAGTTTTTTTTTCTGTATAACCTCAATAAAAGCTCACCTCTGGTCAGGGTAAAAAGGATAAACCTAACCATCACCCTGGCAAAAGAGTAAAAAATAAAAAATAGCAAATAAAAAAATTAAGTTAAAAAAAGCAAATTAAAAAGAGATAAATTAAATAAATAATTATTCCAACTCTACTGATAAACATTTCTGACAAAATACCAGATTAAGGTTATATACAGTGTTTTCTCTGTAAAAAATGCACCCATGAAATTTATATTTGGCATTGGTTGAATAATGTAGCTATTATTTTGTAAAATCCTTTTAAAATTAAAATAAGACATTGCGACTGTTTGTACCCCGCCTATGGGATAAAAAAGGCCAGGTTACAAATGATTAAAAAACAGGTTAAAAAACACATTACTACAAGGATGAATTAGCTGGGAGTTTTACTGAACATAGTTGTTCGTTTGATTTGCGGTGATTTGTTTTATAATTGGCTTGGTTTTTATAATATAATTACTTAAAATCAAATTAGACCTTTGTGTCCCGCGCTACCCTGTATACACACACACACACATATATATATATATATATATATATATATATATATTTGTGTGTGTGCGTGTGTGTACAAATTATACAAACCCAGAAACCTTTATATATAAAAGTTAGATTTGCATCAATTCGCAATAGAGTTGCAAGTATCGATAATATTTAGATATATCCGCAGATATACACTAATATATTGATAGTATTGAATCAGCACACAAGCAATTGTAAAAATACAATTCTATTACAATAATATTATGAACCGTTCAAGTATTGTGCAGGTAAGCATATTAGGGGATAAAGAGCTACCCCTTTGCTAAAAGCGGAAGGGGCGATTTTGGCAATATTAGCAAGCACGATAGTGCATTTGATGCCCTTCATTTTTTGCGATTGATACTGACCTTCAAAATAATTGTTTGACTTTGTGTGAAAATTTGATTGTAATTGCTGTGCTACTATCGAATAACCCTAGTGCTAAAGGTACATAAAAAAATATTTTAATAAAAATAATAAAAAGCAAATAAATATATTGTTGCTCATGGTGTATGCATGAGTAGGAATATTAGCAGCTCTCTTTGGCAGATCTAATCTTAAACAATATAAAGAAATTGATAATTCTCTCTCTAACCATGACAATTTAAAAAAATTACAAAACACTGGCAAAACATGTAGTAGATCCTAATGATCGGTAAAACATAAATCGTCAAAAATTTAAGTCAAAATTTGTGGCAATAAAAAACGAACTAATTTAAAAATCTTGTGCTTAATTTACCTTTTTTTAAAAAAAACAATAATTAGAGATATTGCTAGTTTTAATAAATTGACTCCATAGCAGTATCATTGCAAAATAATAATTATTTCACATTGCATAATACTTTATTACATTGGGATTTTGTACTTTTATTTATTAAATGTGATGAAATGATAATAAATCATTAGTCTATAAAAATATAAATTATAAAATTGAAGAACATTGCAATTTCTAAAAAATTGAATTTTTGCATCTCACACTATCATACATACGTTGTGAAATTTTAAAGGCTTACATAATTAAATAAATATTTGATTTATAAATTGTTTTGTGCGAATATTGTTATTTTGCAATTTTATTCTGTCTGACAAGTCTAAATTGAAACTGGGAAAAATACAACAAAAAATCAAAAATCGTAAATTATTAGGAGCAAGAATGAAAAATATCGATAACATTAATTTCTATAATATTGAAATTTACTGCAAAAAGG